CCGGGGGTGGGGGAGGAGGCCGGGGGGGCGTCTTTTCTCTCCAGTTACCGAAAAACTGCAAAACCAGATACATGCGTCGTTTGCCAAAGATTACGTTTGTAAGAGGCTAAAGAGCTTTAGAACACCACCATGAAAATATTCCAGCAACAGCTTCTTAGGAGTCAAAGAGCAGCTAGAAGTCTCTTCAAGCGTTATTTGTTTGGGGTTTTTTTTTATTTTCTCCAGGTCTTTCTTTTTGCCTGTATTTTATTTCCCGATTCTCTAATTCAATCTGATAACTCCGGTAAAAGCACCGTGCTGGCCAAGAATGTTTTAACAGTAAACACAGAAGAAAATAAAATTATGTATTTAAACCTCGAGAACAGTACAAGGTTTTTAACTCGTCCGTTCCCCCCCTGAATTTTATTATCGTCGTCTGCATAACTCTGTGGATAATTCTTAAGGGCTATTCTAATTTTCGGTTTGATTCCTGAATTAGGGAGAGCTTTTGTTACACAGGGACACGTATTACCTAGGCAGGTGTGACGGCTCTCTTACGCACGCTAGCATATAAAATAATAGCGACATTTAGGATCTAAAAAAAAAGCACGTCTTAACGTTAAAGTTGGCAGCGAGTGTAAAAATACTCTGTTCTGAAAAAATTCTGGCAGTGGCAGCTGAACACACAAAATCTAGTGGATGCTCTACGCTCTCTAAATAGGCTTTCTGTGGACGGTATTCTACACCTACAGGAATAAATAAATAAAATCTTCAGCTTTTAATTAAGGCGATTTAATTCAGACCTCTCCACCCAGCGTAGCCGCCGTGGGAAATGTATACTCCAATGTTTGCTCGGATCGCTTCCTGTCACTATTCTATCTTGTCTTAACGCTAACGGCATCAGCAAAGCTTTCTGGCCCCTACAGCCATTGTTTCCCATTTCCACGTTCTCCGTCCAACCTCTGCCCGTCCAAGAAACTTCCGAAAGTTCAACAGGAGGGGAACTCCTCGCACCTAGCTGATTCATGTCATTGTTTTAACGCTGCCTCTCCCCTAGCTGCGCAGGCTTCTGAAGGGTATACAGTGCCCCGCTGGCTGTTCTTCATGGTACAGTGCAGCCTCTCAAAAGATCATCGGATGGAGAAATTTAGCTCTTCTTGAAACATTTAAGCAACTGAGCAATTAGTTCT